AGCAGAACCCGAAGAGACAAAGGCCTTCCTCCAGAACCCACAGAAAAGAAAGCTTTCAGGAGTGCTGGCACCCTGTATGGGCATTTGAAGCCTCTTAAAATGTGAGAAAATAGATTTCTGGGTACAAAAACAACCCACGTGTGGCACCTCTGCTACAGCAGAAATAGATAACTAAGATCGTAATATTTTCAGCAAAGCTGGACACCTAACAAGAAAAACCACAGGATAATTGATGCCTTTACATTATGGTGTTAGTGAAGGTTACGAGATGTACTGTAGACTGCCAGGAACATAAACAAATCTGTATTGGAAGAGACACAGGCGGAATCCTAGGGAGACTTTATCTGATGCACTTTGGACATGTTCTCAAAGGGATCAGTTCTTGGAGAAGGAGATCATGTTGGTAAACTGGAAATGTAGTGGAAAAGAGAGAGACCCCGAACAAGATAGATGGACGTAAGGACCGCAGCAGCGGGCTCAAATACAGCAATGATTGCGAGATGGCACAGGACCGGGCAGTGGCTGGCTCGCTCGTACCCAGGGCCACTTGGAGGTAGAACCGACTCAACGGTACCTAATAACGACGTGCACATAATATGCCTACACACATACCAGCACATCTACTTGTAACTGTTTTTGCTAGTGTTCCAAAACTTTACAGGCCATAGCAATTACAACCAGGTCCTTTCTTTATTTTCTTACGCACTTTTTAGTAACATGTTTACCTTCAATCAGCTGTGTCCATATCTCCCACATTTGGTGTTCTCTTTCCACCTCCAAAACAAGGGTCTACTATGTAGAAAGTGAATCCTCTTCTTGCACCCCCATTCTTTTTTTTTAAATCACTTTATTAGGGGCTCATACAACTCTTATCACAATCCATACATACCTCAATTGTATAAAGCACATTTGTACATTCACTACCCTCATCACTCCCAAAACATTTGCTCTCCTCATTCTCTCCCCCTCCCTCCCTCATGAACCCTTGATAATTTATAAATTATTATTTTGTCATATCTTACGCTGTCCAATGTCTCCCTTCTGTTGTCCGTCCCACAGGGACGAGGTTATATGTAGATCCTTATAATCGGTTCCCCCTCTCTACCCCACCCTCCCTCTACCCTCCTGGTATCACCACTCTCACCACTGATCCTGAAGGGATCATCCGTCCTGGATTCCCTGTGTTTCCAGTTCCTAACTGTACCAGTGTACATCGTCTTGTCTAGCCAGATTTGTAAGGTAGAATTGCGATCATGATAGTGGGGGTGGGGGTGGAGAAGAATTTAAGAACTAGAGGAAAGTTGTATGACTCATCATTG